TCCTCCATTGTCTAAGTTCCCCTTAAAGTACAGCTAATAATAATTAATAATAATAATCATTTCAGCATTAATTACCTTGGCCTAAGGCTTGAAATGAAGAACCTACAGATACTATTTATTAGGCCTATAAATAATAACTAGCCCAAGGGGAATATTTTTTGTGTTATTTCCCCTTTGTCTAAGTTCCCCTTAACGTACAGGTAATAATAATAATTATTATTATTATTATTATTTCGGCATTACATGTAATTAACTTGGTCTAGCCTTGTAATCAAGAACCTGCCGATTACTATGCCTAATATATGTTATATTAATAACTAGCTCATTTTTACATTCATTTGATGTTTTGCCATTTTGGCAGGTCTATGGCATCCCAGTATTTTAGAGCTGCTTATTCTCAGCTCTTCTCTTAATTTGAATATAACTGTCATTCTGTTTAATTTGATCAGATGAAGAAAAACGCGCTTTTCCTTACTCTTTGTGCTTTTCCCAGAAAGCGTTTTTAGTAGGCCTAAGTAATTATGCAAAACCCAGGCCTAACTAAAAAATTAAAATTGTCATAGTATGTAACTCAAGTTAAAATAACACTTTTCATTACTCGTGCAGCTTAATCAAATATTATATGTCATTTTAAACGACCCATTGGTATTGTATTTTTATAAATTAGACAGCGACGTTCTCTCAGAAGTTGTTCTGTAGAAGTTTATCTATTGATGACCTTTTGACCTCCAGAATTCTGCAATAAGATTTTCGGGTCGATTCAGCCGAGACGGCCCGAGTGGAGTTTCATGTAAATATTTCGTACGGAAAAAAAAAATCGCTGACCGGGCGCGGCCGAAATTGACCTAGGCAAGCCAAAATGGTTTTGGAAATTTTCGATTTTGTCAGCAGACGATCGGACCCAATATTCAGTTTTCCCTAAAGACGATCGGGCCCACAACACGATCGGGCCCATTTTCAAAAAGATCGGGCCCACTTTTGAAAAGTGGACCGATCGTCCAAAAACGGGCCCGATCGTCTGTCACCCTAAATATGATTTAGTTTTAATTGAGTACCAAATTAGCTTGATTCAGTAATGGACTATCTTCTTAAATAGGACTTTTGTCAATAAAATTGGGTATTTGAGGTAGATGTAGACATCAACACCAAGCAAGTTACTCATCAAAATAAAGCCCAATCATATCCTGATAACATACAAACGATAACATAAAAAAAGGAGTACTCCGCTAGTTTTAATAGCCATGAACTGTTTTGAATAGAGCAATGTGGTATTTCTAAAAGTTCGTTTCTGCATAATTCTGTTCATCGGCTTTTACAAGTCATTCTAAAGATAGTTAAAAAGGACATATAACTAAAGACTAAAGACAATTCTTTAGATATATTTTATATTTTGTGACAAAAATTTACAATATATAATAAATTTTTTACATCAATCACTTCATCAAATTTCACAAACAGTTTCAGAGCGCGGTAACTCAAAACTGGCTTCATTGGGATACCTAGTAGAAGTGAAAAATGTTGGAATATTGAAAGCATAACAAATACAAATACAAATGTCTTTATTGCAATCATATAAAATATAGATAGACAATCAAAAATTTACAAAGTCATCAATAAAAAACATTAAAAAAACCAAGAGAATCGCAGAAACATCAAGAATTAGTTACAAAAGTCAAATACCAAATTCAAAATAACAAGATGACAACATAGTGTTTATAAACAATAGATAAATTATGAAAGTATAGTAGGGTTAGAAGATTTGGAGTATCTTTGAAAATTTCTAGTGTGGTATGTTCTATCTCGAAGCCTTCTTTCTGGTGATAAACGCCTTCTTTTTTAGCCCAGCTCCACACATTCAAGGGGAAATACATGTATTTTAATGTATGTTTAAGGCCCTATAAAAAATATTAGTTTATCAACCATATCTAGGCTTGAAAATGATATGGAAGTGATGCTTTTTTTATTTTGTATTTTTCTAAAGCCAAATATCACCTTTGGGTTGTTTGCTGGTGCATTGATATTCAAAGTAAAACATGATTGAGATAATACAAACAATAAAAAAATAAAAAATAAAATAATAATTTAAAAAAAATCTATTTTTTTTATATCATGAAAGACATGCGCACAAGTATAAGGACTAATTAGTTTTTTTATTGTGCCTAATTATTACTTTTACTGTTATTAATTTTATTAGACAGCCAGACAGTGCCCTGAAGAAACAGATGTTATGATATTGCTCCAAAGTTTATTGGACAGTAATCCACAATTGGGGACAAGTGTTAAAGATGCAGGAGAGGTGATGGGTTCTGTATTTGATGCTGAACTAGACGCAAGTAAGTCATCTCCTGGAATACAGACGTCAGAAGTATTGGTGAGAGATATTGAGTCTAATTCCAAATCAGATTAAGGTAATCCACAATTGGAGACAAGTGTTGAAGATCTAGGAGAGGTGATGGGTTCTGTATTTGGTGCTGAACTAGATGCATGTGAGTCATCCCTTGTAATACAGAAAACAGCAATGGCTACTTCTGATGTAAATCACCTGATGGATCATGTGTCTGATGTAGCCTTTTAATGAAATAGGAATACAAACAGCATCAGAAGTACCAGTAAGAGATATTGTGTAAATACACAATTGACAACACTCGTGAAGACACAAGTGTAGACACAGAGGAGAGTAAACAGAAACCGTGCAAGAAACCTTATAGATACAGTACTGTATATTTTGTTGCAAAATGATGTCCAAGTTATCACAGCACATAGCTGTTGTACATAAAGACGACATACGTGTGCAAAAAGCATTAAAGCTTCCAAAAGCAGAAAAGGCTGATGCATTTGACGTGTTCAAAAAAGAAGGAATTACAGATTTTAATAAACAGCAAGCCAGAATGGATTTACCAAGATATGAAAGGGAGAGGGCTGCTTCTTCATCAAAACAGGCTGGAGCATTAGTGCAATGTGGGACGTGCAAAGCATTTTTATCAAAGAAATAATAAGAAGGCACATAAAGCAGGTGTGTCAGCCAAAATCAGAAGCGGTAGCTTGTGCTGTTTCTTTGCCCCCAAGTTTGTTGGCTCTTAATATTATGATAATTGGGATGAATTTGTACAGAACATTTTATCAAAATTCAGAACTAATGACGAAGCTGGGAAAATGTGTGTCAAACATAAAGTGTTGATGGACATTGGAAAAAGGCTATGGTCGAAACAAAAGAGGATGGATGAGGCAGTTGAGGTAAGGAAATGCAAAGTTAACGTTATTTAATGCAAGACGGGGGGGGGGGTTGAGCCCAGTCGACTTCTCATTCTCATCAGTCAATAAACTGATGCAGAAAGAGGTGTGTGGTTAGATCAGCAGCAGGTGGACAGACTCGATCCATTAGACAAGGTCGGTTACCAAACAGGGAAACGGAAACATTTGGTACCAGTGCTCTTCCCTAACGATACACATATGCCTTTAAAAAAATTAATAGATCCAGATATTCGGTCAACTGCAGGAATTTTAGAAAATAACAAATATCTGTTTCCCAGCACCAATGGCTCTATAAGCCATGTAGTCTGGCAGCTTAGCAGATAGATGTGGACGTTCCGGACAAAAGCACCAATTTTTTTTTTTACATACTCCTTATGGTCATAGCATTCAATTTTTAGTAGGAACCACCTCATCCGAGGTCACTATGGCGGCCATCTTGGATTTCAAAATGGCCGCCTAATAAAACCTATGTTTATCTATATCTCCACTTCTGAATCACTTGGAATTATAATTCTAATGTCTGAAACTATTTTTATATGGTCAAGGAATACCATCATACCATTTTTAACTGGTCAGATTGCCACAAATGTATACAATAATTTCTTTACATTTCTATATTATTAGATATAGATATAAGGTATATACCTATATACATGTATATATAAACCTATATTTAAACAAATAACAATAAGCATTGCATTTATCATTTACCTATTGACAATATTTATATATATATGGTTCTTTGAACACACGTGCTTACCTATGTTATAATATAT